AAGGTATATTTCTGAGCATTTATAAATTGAATTTGACAATGCAAAAAAAGTATTTCGTTCTGCAGAAACAACGGAAACAGGAAGTTCTGCACCCGTTGAAGCCCTGTCACATGGTGTTCAGATGTCTGTGCTATGTGTAGACTGTTTATGTTGATCTGAGTTAGTGTGCAGCCTGAAAGTCTGGCTCGACCCGACTCTGTCTCCTGTTTCTCCCCGCACACACTAATGTTGCTCCCTCTACCCCTCCTCTCCTGTGGCTGCAGCAACTGTTGTCTGTGATCGACAACCTCTTGTCCGGTGGAGCCTTCAAAGATAAAAGGAAAGTCTCCATCTTTTTGACCATGGTGGAGGAAACTCTGAGGCTCATAGGACCTTTCATTAAGGCCCATTGGACAGCAATAACCTCCACTCACACAGGTACAAAGAAAACTCCATTAGGTTGACATATTTTCTGATGCCGTGTATTTCAACAGCTGGTAGATTTATTTTGTGCTCAACAGACAGTTGCAATGCATGTTCATAAACAATGTTATAATCCATCTGGATCCAGATTTGAAGCTGCTGGTAAAAAAGGGGGATGACTTTCCCCAGGGAACCAAGACTTTCTCATCCAAGGGAGCTCATCTGAATATATCATTGAAAACAGCTGCTGGAGATCCCTCCTATTACCCTGGTAATCATCATGCATATGATTAACAGAAATGTATCAAGTTGTAGATCATTTATGTAATGTGATGAATAACCACCTAATCCAGTTTGATCCTTTTATGCTTCTGAAAGGCTTTACAACAGTGTCACATCTGAGATATGAAAACCTGGAAGACTCTGCAGATGGTTTCTTTAGCGGAATGAAACGTCAAGAGGAACAAAGCTATAAGATCAACTCCAAAGTCGTGACTGTCACTGTCAGTAACAGAAACACAAGCCACCTCAAAGAGCCTGTCATATTGACCTTCGATCATCTCAAACAGGTAGAAACTAGTTCGCCAATAAGGATGATGATTAATCCTTGCGTGAAAATATTGTTTCTACAACAGTCATTAATCTACTTTGATTCACAGTCAAATGAATCGAGCCACACCTGTGTGTTCTGGGATTCTTCAAAAGAAGGAGGGTCATGGTCTGCTCGTGGCTGCAGTGTGCTGACGTCCAACCCTAATTACACCGTGTGCTCCTGCAACCATCTGAGCAGCTTTGCTGTGCTCATGGCACGAAATGAAATAGAGGTTAGCACTCTCATATTACAAAGCAAATCATGATGCCTATTATTCAGAGTCTACAAATGAAACATCAATCCATGTCTGTGTACTGTAATGTCTTCTCCGTCTCTCCCAACAGGACACGTTTGAGTTGCAGCTGATCACCTGGGTGGGTCTGTCCCTTTCACTTATTTGCCTGTTTATCTGCATCCTGACCTTTTCATTGATCCGCTCCATCAAAAGCCCAAGAACCACCATCCACCTGCACCTCTGCATCAGCCTCTTTATTGCCAACATCATCTTCCTGGCAGGCATCTCTCGTACTGAGAACCGGGTAAATACAAACAAAATAACAGCTTGTACTGTCAAGGTGGGTGCAGTAACATTTCTGATACCTTCGAAAACAGCAGAGTGATATGCACATAACAGCACAGCTATTGAAGGATTTATGTGGATACTGATCGCCAAGAAGTTTCTGCACTTTTTTTCTCCCCATTTCTCAGCATCCTATATGTCCTTTTTTTGTTGCTGTCATCATGATCTTCATCTCCTTCTGCATCAGGTTGGCTGCGCAGTGGTAGCAGGGCTGCTGCATTTCTTCTTCCTGGCAGCATTCTGCTGGATGTGTCTGGAGGGCATACAACTCTTCAGAATGGTGGTCCTGGTTTTCAACACCAGCTTTAAAACCCTCTACATGATGGCAGGGGGTTATGGAGTCCCAGCCGTTATTGTCGCTGTCTCTGCCTTAGCTAATGCCAAGGGATATGGTACCAAGAGACAGTAAGTTCCCTCCACTTGTTTGATTTTTTATTTATTCCCGAATACCAGGTTATGTTGACACCTCTGCTAAATAAACTCTCATTACTAATTGCAGCTGTTGGTTAAACCTGGAACTCATTTGGAGTTTCTTTGGTCCTGCCTGCGTCATCATTGTTGTAAGTAGAAATATTGAGTTGAAAGATGTCCTTAAAATTGTCAAAGGGCTTCTTCTAAAAAAATAACGTTGTTATTTGTTGCCTTTCAGGTAAACATTTTCTTCTTTCTCATCACTGTGTGGAAGTTGGCGCAGAAGTTCTCAAGTTTAAACCCTGACTTAAACAATCTGCAGAAAATAAAGTGAGTGTCTGTGTGTGTAGTGGTAGTGTGTATAAATATGGTAACATTTATTTGACATATATATTTGGAACAAAGTGCCCCAGATTTGAACCGTGTGTATCTTTGTTGCCTCCTGCAGGGTGTTCATCATCACTGCAGTGGCTCAGCTGACGCTGTTGGGCACCATGTGGATCTTTGGTTGTTTCCAATTTGAGGGGGCGCCAATAGTCATATCATACCTGTTCACCATCTTTAGCAGCTGTCAGGGGTTTTTGCTCTTTGTCATGCACTGTCTGCTTTCAAAACAGGTTTGTCAAGCCTCCTCCTCTCAGAAATCGAAAAAGTAAGCTCTGCTGGTTTTTCTGGTGTCAAAACTTGATTTGTATTATAATTTTAGGTGAGAGAAGAATATGGAAAGATCCTGTCCATATGCTGTGCACCTGGAAAGAAGAGTTACTCTGACTTAAACTCCTCACACACCAGCAAAGCTCGTGTAAGCAGTTAGTAATATTTTACTTCAGTGTGTCTCATTTACGTAGTATCCAGAATTTTGCAGTACAAACTTAGTAATTTTAACACAATGCAACATAGAAATGTTCATGTATGTGATAGTACAGTTTGATTTCTACTTAAAGTTTATTTTAATAAAAAGAAAGAAGTTCTGGAAAATAGTTGTACCATTTGATAAATAACCATAATTTCTCGCCAGGCAACCGTAAAATTAAGTCAAACATTTGCATGCATGTGGACAGCATAGTTCAACATTTGTTCCGTAATTAGATTGCTTAGGATACTTAATTTAGTTATCGGAAGGTTACTTGGAAAGCTTCCTAAAGGCAAACACATAGTATTTTCCCATGGTTTGAAGATGACATGGTATTTAAGGTAACATGAAGGGTGTCAGAACAGAGCTGTCCTGATAAAGAAAGAATATATACTGAAATGTCTGTTGTGACTCATCGGCATGTCTTTTTCCTATTACTCAGGCATCCAAGAGCACCCAGGACACGGGGGAGTCTCGCATCTGAGGAGTTAACAAGTCTGATTTATTTCAAGAAGACGGCCATCTTAGATGTATAGCTTACTTTTGCCCTGAAACGTGTAGTAGTCAATGCACCAGCTTCATTGCAAAATGATGTAAATGCTTCTTTACATTTTCATGACTTTTTTTTCTTTTTGTTATTGAGTGGGTATTGCATTTTAAGCTATTAAAAAAGGAAACGTTGACTAATTTATTTATTACAAATCAAGAAATAAGAAATTACATTCGACAGTCATAGAATTAAAAAAACTGGATGTTTTTTTTTCAAACAGCACTTTTAAGAGAGAATTGTTGAAAATTGTTTGAGAAAAATAATCTAAAAGTTATTTTAAAATGTTATCACTGCTAAAGAATTTACATAATGTTATCGATAGATATTTTGATCAACACCTGTTTTATCAGGTATATGTTGTATGGTACTTTATGCAACATGCGAAGACAATCTAAAAGGTTTTTCTAAGACAAGCACTTTTTACTATGGAACTTATCATCTAAATATGACCACCACAAAGAAGGACGAATATTAGATTTTTTATGTATTTTTTGTGTATATATTGCTACCAAATTTAGTATTTATAGTAAGTTACTGTATTTTATGCTCCATTTAGCGTGCTTTTACATGTTAAATGTCAACATTTTTATTTACTTAGTTCCAAAACCTGAATGTTCAGAGATAACTTTTGTATTTTTGTGTTTTACAATGTCATTTTCGTTTTAAGCACTGGTTTTAGCAGCAAGTTCTGATAGGTCAAAAAAATGCAATGCAAAAAAACATATATAGGCATGACTGGCCTTGAATCATTTGATGTAAAATATACAATAAAGATTTTGTGAACAAATAAAGGATTTCTTTCAAGTTTTTTTATGCAAGATTACAAATATTAACAAAATATCAACAAAATAAGAGCCATCCTTTATTCATATCATCTGACACTTTTACGTTTGCCAACTGCATTTGACTTGACTTGCACATACAGAGGAAATAGAAGATTATCTCCTCTTCCTTCCTGTTTGTGTGGAATACAGACAGGATGTTCTCAACAGCAACAACAACAAGTCTGAAATCTCCAAATTGATACTTGAATATTAATGTGCAAACCTTAATTAAGTGTACTCCTGAAAGAAGTATTTTGCTGTTAGTTTCAATGTATATAAAACAGATGAATCCCTCTTTAAACATCACAAACCTTGGTACTGACACAAGTATACCAGAAACCCTTGAGGCACCTAATCATCATCATGCGCTTTCGAACTCCTTTGATGTCCTTCGTTGTGCCTACTCTCTGTTTATGTGACAGACACTGGGTGATAATCATCATTGAGTAACAGACTCAAATTTCTTTATGCTTTGAGGGAAATACATTTGTCATTGCGAATTTGAGAAAGTAAATAAGAAAATGTTCGTAATAGCTGACTTTTGTAACTGTTGAATTATTCAGCTTGCACTGAATCAATACTACCCAAAGTAATGACTGAGATCCCCCCTGGTTCAAACGATCAGCAGAGAAGATGAATAGATGCAAGGACTACATCCAGGGAGGGAAAGAGGATGGAAAATGCAGATCCGGTATATGAAGATAAAATAGCTGCCATGTCTCTGGAGAGGGAGAAAGTCGGACCAGAGAGAAAGGGAATCTATCAGAGAGGCAGGGGAAAGAAAGGGAGGAGAACGAGAGCAAATGATTGTGAACAACAGTGATTACGGAACATAGTAAATTATGCAGATCTGTGGACAAGAGAAATACGTTTGTCATCTCTCATCAAGTGTTCAGTTGGAGTCATTTGAAGGTAAGTTTGATTTATAATTCATAACCATTTCTTGGTGATTTACCTCATGACATATATTCTTCTCAGGTGCAAATTACTCTCAAGGACGGTGAATGTTTAAGAAATCCAGGATTTCTCCCTGATTTAAAGTTAATCCACTTTTACTGTGAGTAGTATTTACATATTTGAGAGATGGATAATGCATAAAGGGCACTACCCCATTGTCCTGTGATTTCCTTTATTATAGCTTGGATGTTAAGACATGTTTTGTCTTGTTTAAAGAGCACAGTAAAAGAAGAATAACAAAATATTCTGTCTTTATGTTGAAGAAAAGATACAATATCCATTTGAATAATATCATGTTCAACACGACAGCTTTGTTTTGTTATACTCACTGCCAAACCCCAATACCAGAAATAACAAAAAGGAATTCAAGAACCTTTGAAGGTCTGGAAACTTAATAGATGATGTTGAGGTTTATGTAAACAGCAGATTACGGATTCTGTTCGCTGTGCTGTGTTTGCGAAAGATAGAAGAGTTTCTATCTATTCTTTTGCTGTGCCTCTGTGAAAAGGCTATGTCTGGAGAGTGAGAATCAATTAACCGGTTACAAATATCAAGCTAAGTGTCTGATGCCTGATGTATCAGGATGAAAATCGCTAATGCACATTGGAACATTCTGCAGGTTAAAGTTGAATGAGATCAAAATGATGGCAAAACAAAAACAAGACTTTTCAACAAGGATTGCAGTTTAAAATAATCCACACCTCTAGTTTCTCTTTAGCATTGTAATTGGTGAATAGCTCTAATAATGTGGGTGTGATTCTGTGTTATTGTGTAGCATATTCCAAATTTGAAACCGAAACCCTCTATTCCCAGCCTAGGCAATCTGATGCAGTCTGATGACATTATGACAGTTCATATGAACCGAAATGAAATGTAAACTGGGAATAATTAGTTAAGGAACCAACTAAGCAACTGGCTGTGGAAGAGTGGCAAAGATAACAATTAGCCAGGTAGGATTATAGCAGGTGAGCAATTTGAGCAGTGGAAACACATGTATTAAACTTTTTGTGAAACAGCAGATGATAAATTAAACTACACACATAAAATCAGCAGAAATAACATAAGTTCCCTATATTTCCACACCATAAATGACAGGAAAGTTTAGTAAATGTTGAACATTCTCTCCTCAGGGCAATTGGCATAGGTTGTTCTGTATTTGAGGCCTATGTCGTGTGTCTCGTTACAAATCTGTCCACCGTCTGTGACTGTCAACCAACAGTTATGAAGAAGTAATCACCCTGCAAAATTCTAAAAATATCCTACAAATATGACACATTGCCATAAACTCAATCCCTTATATTGATGGGTTTTTTTCTGTATCTTCTGTTGTGGTTTGAATTTGTTAGAATTTGTGAGAATCCATCAATGTATAAGCAAACACTACAACCTGCATGTGCTTGCACAGAAAAAAAGCTCAGGCTGTGTTTCATCCATTCCTCTTTATTATTTCCTTTGCAGTAGCTTCTCTTCTTATTATGGTCTAAATCTTTAGTGTCACTGGCAGACCACATTTATTTGAGTAGCTCAGAGAAGCATGTAGCATTCACTCATACACAACATTGCATTTAAGACCTCTCCTGTCTATGAATAACTCGAGACACATTTTAAAAGCAGAAATGCACTGCCTTTGTTTGAATTATTGGAAGCATTTATACGTTGCCTGCAATTTTTCCATAGGTAACACTGAAGATGAGAACAGCGTCTATGACTACATTTTCTACCTCTACGCCATCCATCCTTCTGCAGAACCTGAAGATGAACTCCTCTGAGCAGCCGGGTCCCTGGCTGAACAGCAGCACCTTGCTACCTGTGAAATCGTCAAGTTTGGGGATGTCCTGCTTCACTATGACATTTGGCGCCATCTCCAACCTCACAGCTCTGGGCATCCTGGCTAAGTCCCGTGTCCGATTCCGCCGCCCATCCAAATCCCCATTTCTGCTTCTTACAGTAGCTTTGCTTCTGGCTGATCTTGCAGGTCATGTTATCCCGGGCGCATTTGCTTTGTATCTGCACACGGATCAGATTAATCAAATGAAGGCCGTGAAGCCCACCAAAGTATTCTGCCAGATATTTGGGGCCAGCATGGTCTTTTTTGGCTTATGCCCTTTACTGTTGGGTTTTGCCATGGCAGTAGAGCGCTGTGTGGCCATCACCTGGCCCTTTTTCCACGCTGCTATGGTCACATTGGGTCATGTGTGGCGAGTTGTGTTATTGCTGTCCTCTCTTGCATTTGTGCTGGCAGTTCTACCTTTATTTGAGGTGGGCACCTATACTACCCAGTTTCCTGGTACATGGTGTTTCTTACCTATCCATGGTCCGAGGTCTACAGCCGACACCAATTTGGCTCTGGCCTTCTCATGTTTGGGTCTTACCGCGCTTACTTTTTCCCTACTCTGCAACATCCTGAGTGGTCTGGCATTGCTGCAAGCCAGGAAGAAGTCCCACAATGTAAATACAAAATCAGCAGCTCGCTGCACTCGTCGTGCATCATCCACATCTTCCACCTTTTCTCGTTCGTTGAATGTGGAGATGATGGTGCAACTGGCAGTAATCACCGTGGTTTCCTGTGTATGTTGGAGCCCCTTTCTTGTAAGTAGTACTCTTTTAGATTGTATCATTTGTTTCCAGAACCATTACACATTGGTCCGGTGTTTTTAAGAATATTGTTAATGATAATGTAATAGTATGACTGATTCTGTGTATCTTTCCAAATAGATCCATATTCTTGTGATGCAGTTCAAACAAAGAACCTCAACCCAAGAGAAAGATGGTTTCATTCTTCTGGGCTTACGTATGGCATCCTGGAATCAAATCTTGGACCCTTGGGTTTACATCTTACTGAGGAAAGCTGTGCTTATTAGAGTTTGCTGTGCCACAGTGACAGAAAATAGGTCCTTCGCAGACTCACACAGGCAAGCCTTCATGCTGCAATGACCATTTTGCTCTAACAAAAATAAATTATCTTTTCTTGTGTGTGGTGAAAAATATACAACTGGCTGTGTTTTTTCTTTCTAAAAGGCTTTGTGAGGTCAATATTCAGCAAGCCAGGCTTACAATGCAGCAGTGTGAATAAGGGATGCGAACAGACTTCCCCAACATTTCCCAACATTTAGTTAGTAGTCTGTGCTTGTGCTACTATCAACAGCAGCCACCTGCAAAACTGGTGGTTGGGAAATTGGAAGTGGGTTAGTATTGCCCAATCAAAATTGAGAAAACCTTGACAAGCGCCGAGTTTAGCAAATGGCTGAGCTGCTGGAGATTGCTCACACCCGGGATGGGCGGTGCTTCTTTGGCAATGACTGTTCAATATGGAGTACAGAAACTAGCCTGATTCGCTCTGCATTTCACTGCTCTCATTCAGTTTCGGATCACTTTAGCAATTCGGGCTCAAATTATGAACTTTCCCCCGTATATATCAGCCTACTGGACACTGTCACGTACGTTTGACATATTTCCAAATGTCGTTGGAATGTAAGTTGTTTACTAGCTTAGTTAACGATAACAAAAACCGCGCTGACGTAAACTGATCTGAAACTGTGGTAAAACACTTGAAAACTATTGATTGTTAGGCAAAATTGTATATTATCTCGACGTTTTCAACAACCGGAGGAAGATTTCTGGTACTCAATTGTTACCAAGTTGTGCACAGCGACTAGGTTATCGGGTGAAAGGTGACATCGCTTCAGTCTATTGACTCGTAGGTAAGTTATGTGCCATGCATGGATGAAGATATTGTTGACGATGATATATTATGTGACCTTGAGAGATATCAGTTTAAATACGAGTGGTGTGGCAACTTTATCCCTGCTCAAAGCTTTTATATTATTGTTTAAACCTTTCCTAACAACAAAGTTGTGTGTACCAGTTTGCACTAGCCTACATTAATCCAACCTCCTGAGTGTAGGCTTCAGTTTATGCCCATTATATCCTCAAAGCCCATCTTTTTCCCCTTCCTCCATGACAAGAATGCACAATGCGGCGAGTGTCTCAGCCTCTCTGGGGTCCATGGGACTGCTGCGCCTCTTTGGGGTCTCCTGGCCGTGGAGTCTGGCAGCAGGCCTCGGAGTTTATCTGGGCACAAGCAGCTGGAAATACTTCTACATCGCAGCACGCACCGCCAAGAGAGACCTCAAGTAAGTTAAACATGTACAAATATAGTTATGGTCATGCGTTTGGGTTTACATCCTAATTTATCAAATGTTCCCCCTCCCCAGTGGCCTGTATGTGCTGATGAGAGTGAAGGTGGCTCTATGGCGCTACATGCGTAATGGAAGTAACATTCCTTCCATATTCGCTCAGACAGTGAAACGGCACCCAAATAAACCAGCACTGATCTATGAGGCCACAGGGGAAATATGGACCTTCACTCAGCTGGACGAGATGTCTAATGCAGTGGCCCACTGGGCCAGAGGTCAGGGGTGGGTCTCGGGTGATGTGGTGGCCCTCTTCATGGAAAGCAGACCTTTGCAGGTGGCTCTTTGGCTGGGCTTGGCCAAGGTTGGGGTGGAAGCTGCACTCATCAACTTCAACCTGCGGAATGATTCCCTCGTGCACTGTGTTGGGGTGTCCGGGTCCCGGGCCATTGTGTTTGGAACTGAGCTTGCTGATGGTAAGAATGCATCAACAAGGTAGTTGGAAAGGTACATTGTAAAATGCTGTTCTGCAGGATAACATCTTATTTAGGGCAGAACAAGTCAGATGATTACTGGAATGAGTAACGTTTAATTCAATGTTCTTGTGTAACATCAAGGGAGGTGGTGTTGTCACCCTTTTATTTTGTGTGTGTAACATTATAACTGTGTCTCCTGAATATCATGCGGTCAGGACATGCTGTTGCTGATCACATTGCACAGTCATCCCTTTTTGAAGTTAGTCAAAATTCTATTGTGTTGGCTTTCTTTTGCAACATAAACACACCACTGATGTTTGTGTGTGTGTGACTACTTTATTTACTGTAAATAATGTTTTCATCATAGATATCAGTTTACTCTTCTTTAGTCTGTAGGCATCATGGCGTCAGAAAGGAAATTCTTAGATAGTTTGACTTAATAATTTCATATATACATTTCTACAAAATTGTATTTAATTGTCAGAAATATTTAGATTATGTTTTAATTTTAACTAGCATGCCTGAACTAACTTGATGTCCTCTCTTCTTCTCTCCTTTTCCTCTTACTGAATGGCAGCCATGTCGGAGGTCAGTTCCTCCATGAACCAGGCCATGGTACGGTTCAGTACAGGGGATCTCGGTGCAGAACATCTGGCCCTTCCGGGTGCCCAACCTCTGGACCCAATCTTAGCCTTGTCACCTAAACATCACCCCACACCTTGTGTTCCCCCCAAAGGCATGAATGGTGAGTACAGTCACTGAAATCAAGTGTACCTCTGTCTAAGACATCATATGTATCTTAATGAGAAGTTCCTTTTTGAAATACCCTATTCAAACTATGTCCAATATTCGGCTGGTAAACTGGGGTTATCACTAAAATACTTTTTTGAATAATATGTTGGTTCTTCTTTGGATTAATCAATTTGATGTTTGGTCTATAAAATGTCAGAAAATAGTGGAAAATGTTATGCTTACCAAAGACCTATTTGTTATTCTAAAATGTTATGTTTAGAGTCATTAGGAAATCTCAAAATATTCACATTTAACAAGCTGGAAAAATCATTTGGCAAATGTTTGAATAGGTATAGACTAGGGGTGTTGAAAATAATCGTTTCTACGATGCATTGCGATGCGGACGTGGACGATTCGGTCTCGATGCAGTGACGGAAGATAATCGGTTATACCGTAGTAACGTTGCTTCCTGATTTTCCGGCCGTGGCTTTACTATAACGTTTTTTTTTTCTGTCACTTTAATATCAAATCGGTCGGTGACGCAGAGATCAGGGAACAGACGTGACAGCGGCACAGCAACACCAAACACGGCGCAGTCTGCTTTATCCACCAACACAAGAACACCAGTCCAGAACCAACAGCAGAAGGACCCGCTCTGAATCACTCCGTGTCGCTGCGGCTCAGGGATTTATGTATTTCAAAAATAATCGCGTTACAATCATGTCAGGTTTTTGGTGGATTTAATTAAGTCTTGGATTGCAAAGTATGAATGTCCTCTAGCAATTTTCAGACGATATATACGTGTGTAAAGTTTGTGAAGGCAGGAGGAAAAAAGCTTCCGCGATCACCGTCTCCTCTCCGTTCCTCCAAACCCCGCCCTGAAAATAATGAGTGACAGGCTGATAGTGACCCGATAGAAACTTTATTATTCACTTAATCACTGAGATATAATGAAGCTAACTTAATCTCATACATTCATGGGATTTATGTAACAGTAAGACAGAGAATGTAAGTGTGCACCCACATGCAGTATTTTAGTTGTTATATGCTGTTGTAAATACTCCTGTTGTCTGCTGTGTTCAGACTCAAGTCCTGTGTGTGATGCCACATTCAGGACATTCAGTGTCCTTTTTTTAACAGAAGACTGCTGCTAGACTGCAGAAGCATTATTTTTTTGTTTTTGAGGATGGAACAACTTCACACACAGATATAGGGAGGCTAGACCTATACAATTCATTTGTTTTGGTTTATAAATGAATGTCAAGACATTTATGTTATTGATTTCTGAAGCACTTTCTAAATAATAAAAAGAGAGTTCATAGTATTTACTGCATGTATGCATTGATGAAAAATAAGCCATGTGCAGTAATATAGAAAATTGAGGATGCAACGCATTGGTATGAATCGGGATATCGAATTGAATCGAATCGTTGACAGGATAATCGTAATCGAATCGTGAGACCAGTGAAGATGCACAGCCCTAGTATAGACTAAAAGATTTGCAGCTTACTGTTAACTCTAGCGCTATACTAAATTCCCAAAGTTTGTGTCCTACATCAATTTATTTTTTTCACTCTGCTGTGTAGCTTCTGAAGTAAAATTGATTCCCAGTCATTATGTGACTCAGGTGGGATGAGGGGAATGCATGGCTGTGAAAAACCTTAAAAGTCATGAGTCATTTTGAATTCAAGACAGATATTGACAGTTTTCTCTGGGCAGCAGTCAGTAGTTGGTATGAATGACTCACTAAGATACTGTCTGAATAACAATTCATAACCCTGAATAATGGTAAATCTGTCTCAGATGAATATTATATAAAAGTCATCATTACAGGTCCTAGCTATAGATATACCCTTTCCAAACAAACTAGAGGTCTATGATGCCCAGGAAAAGCAAAGCCGAAAATTGCATTTCAGGTCCCATCATTCTTTAGGTTTACTGATGGCATTCCAACAGTAACTGAAATGCTGTGAACCTATATGTTTCTTTATTAATGCTCTATTGTATTTTTCTTCTGCAGACCGTCTATTTTACATTTACACCTCCGGTACCACAGGACTGCCAAAGGCTGCCATTGTTGTACACAGTCGGTACGTTGCTCTCAATAAAAGCACCACTCTCCAGAATTGTTACAGTTGCTGCGCAGTTAATGATAGATGTCTGAGAACCTCTCCTGTGTTCCCACTGCAGTTACTACAGAATTGCTGCTTTTGGATATTTCGCCTTTCGCATGAGCCCAGTTGACATCATCTATGACTGCCTGCCTCTCTATCACTCAGCAGGTATTTGATGGCAGGCTCCAGCTCTTGAACAATACACTTCACCTGTTTTAGGTGTGCATAACCAAAGTGTCAGCTCTTTCTTTTTCCCAGGTAATATCATGGGCGTCGGTCAATGTCTGATCCATGGCCTCACTGTGGTAGTGAAGAAGAAATTCTCTGCCAGCCGCTTCTGGGAAGATTGCATTAAGTACAACTGCACTGTAAGAGGTTTTCTCGGAAAATATCCAGAATTGTACTTAATCAATAAAACATTTATACTGAACAAGCCACAATAACAACTATGTTATCCCGTTGTAGGTGGTGCAGTATATTGGGGAGATCTGCCGCTACCTCCTGTCTCAGCCAGTACGGCCGTCAGAAAAAGGACACAAAGTTCGGCTGGCGGTGGGGAACGGGCTGCGCCCCAGTGTGTGGGAGGCCTTCACAGAGCGTTTTGGGGTGGCACAGATTGGCGAGTTCTATGGAGCAACAGAGTGCAACTGCAGCATCGCCAACATGGATGGCAAGGTCAGCAAACACTGCTTTTTTTTCACTTGTGTGACTTCCATGATAAAATGGGACTCGGATGAGAATTGAGTTTATTCTGTGATGCCAGGTGGGAGCCTGCGGATTCAACAGTCGCATTCTCCCCAATATTTACCCAATCCGTCTGGTGAGGGTGGACGAGGACAGCATGGAGCTGGTTCGAGACAGCCGGGGGCTCTGTGTGACTTGCCGCCCTGGTAAATAATATGAATACTACCATAATGATTTTTTTTCTAGATTTGGGATATGTTTTCAAATGTTTTAGTCTTCTGAAATCACGCCATTAAACGCCTTCATGTCTTGCAGGGGAGCCAGGGCTTCTGGTGGGTCGTATCAACCAGCAGGATCCATTACGGCGTTTTGATGGCTACGCTAACCAGGACGCTACTAAAAAGAAGATAGCTCACAATGTCTTCAAGAAAAATGATTCTGCATATTTATCAGGTTACCAATCTCTTTAAATATTTTTGTAAATCTGCAAAAAGTCGTGTTATTCTTCAAGATAAAGAAACACTAACAAATAATGTCAATGTTGTATTGCCAGGCTTCCTTTGTCTGTGCTGAGTAGGGGTAATTTGTATTTGACCAGACATGGAATATTTTTCAAATTTACTACCCATATGTCTTTTCCAGGTGACGTGCTGGTGATGGATGAATTTGGCTACATGTACTTCCGTGACCGTGGTGGTGACACGTTCCGCTGGCGAGGAGAAAATGTCTCCACCACAGAGGTAGAGGGCGTCCTCAGCAGTCTTCTGTGTCAGACTGATGTGGCAGTGTATGGAGTGACAGTGGCAGGTAATGGTTAACTCTGCCTGCTTAACAATTTCCTTCGGGATAAATAAAGTCTTATCTTAATGCTTTCAGCCTCACGTTGCAACCATAACTGTTATTTGTATTTGATGCATATAGCTTGTAACTGTGCTCACTACTTGACGAGCATGTATCTCCATGTGTCTTGCCAGGTGTGGAAGGTAAGGCCGGCATGGCTGCCATTGCAGACACAACAGGAACTTTTGACTGCAACAGCTTCCTGCAGAAAGTCCAGCATGCTCTTCCTTCGTATGCTCGCCCCGTGTTCCTGCGAATTTCACCACAGGTGGACACCACAGGTACAGTGTCCTGATATCCATTCTGAATGAAAGAAATATCAACCTCACTTTAGATTTGTATATCAACAAATCATAATCTATTTAATGTATCAACAGGTACATTTAAGATCCAGAAAACCAGGCTGCAGAGGGAGGGATACGACCCGCGTCGCAGCACTGACCAGATCTACTTTTTAAACACTAGAGCCGCGTGTTACGAGGCTGTAGACGAGGAGCTATATAATGCTATAGCCGAGGGAAGAATGTCTCTATGACATGGAGGCCGTTGCAGGGCAGTCGTGTTGCCTCAGAAAATAGATGCTGTAGAGAGAACATATGCATACGCTGGTGTAGGGATCAGTCGGTTTGGGTGCACCACTGACAGGATTATAACCTTTCAGGAAACAGATGAGAAGACTACTTACATAGGCAGAGTATTGTAACAGATGAAGTTTAAACCTTGTATGATTAACACACCAGGCAATAATGTAAGGGCATTTATTTCCTTTAATAATTTGTTGTGTAATAATTATACATGAACACCTCAAAAAGCCTTTAAGCATCACCGCACAGAGTGGGTATAGCACACAACCGATTTGAAGTAGGATACATGCGGTAGCATCAAGTCAAACTGTTACAGGGTATATTCCCATATATGAAGAAGGCTTAAAGAACAATTATGTGTAGGTTCAAGCAATACTTGAGTGTAGAGCTATGGAGTTACTGATGTGCGTTTGGATGAAGCTGAAGGCCAGACTTCCACATGCAGCTACTAGATAAAGCACTAACCGTAGTCTCTTTTTAAAGGAAAACTAATCGCACTTATGTCATATTTAAACCTCTGAACAAAACTGGCACTTGTTTGCAGATACACGAAGGTTGTGACAGTATGTGCCTTATGTGAAATATCAGATCTGTGTTTCAAATGTTTGTTTTTTTTAATTAGCTTTTCTTAGAAAGGAGCTCAACAGGTTGTGGTAATCACGAGTGATTTTTTGCCATGCAAAGCTGAGCCACAAGTGTCATTTTATAAAACAAATCTTATGAGTGTAATATATGGATATTTAAAGCTATTTACAATTTCACATCTCCAAGACTACATATTTTGTTGTAACTCAAATTAAATATTTTAAAACAAGTTTGTTTCATGTCATTAAGAACGTTTTTTTTGCTCACTTGGAAATGTAGTGCTGTAATTTTCCACAATCGTCTCTTTTTAAAATAGAAAAAAATATATTTCACATGCCTAAGCAGTCATTCTGTTTTTTTTTTGTATAACTTTATTAAAAACCTTTGGCAATGTCACCAAAATAAATGATTAATCCATTGACAATAATATTCTTGTGGGCAGGATTTTCAGCGGATGCTCTTTGCAGGCAGAGCAGAAGTAGGGAAAGGCTCTGAGTGATATGATCCCAGTGAAGGTGTAGAGCGGTGCTCTCTCTCGAGGGTCATAGAAGGTCACCTTGCCCCTGTCCATATCTAAAACTACTCTTATCACTTCTGGCACCTTAGTCATGTTCAGCGGCTCCCACGGTGCTGTGCAGGCCTTGTGCTCACTGTTGCGAAACCTTATAGTCCAGAATCCCTCTGCTGGTGTCAACACGTGCTTGCCCTTCCTGTTGATGGAGTCGCTGGCTACTCCCATCACCCAGTAGGTGTTGTTCTTCACCTCCACATCCCAGCTGTGGCGTCCAGAGGTATACCCCTCAGCAGCCAGCATCTCAGCACTGATGTCGAAGCGTTCTGGGTTGTCAGGCAGCTTGAAAATCTGGGTAGAGTTCTGCACAACTGTGAGATCCTCTGAGAGGATGAAGCAGCTGGCCGCTGTGTTTGGATCCAGAATCACAGGAGCTAGAGAGAAAAGGAAGAAAAAAAAAAGCAGAAGTTATGTTAAATAGTCTGGGAGAAGAGACGCTCAATAAAACATGGCTATTTATTTTTGGAAAAACTCACTATATTTAACTATATTCTTCATCTTCTCCCACACTCTAAACTTCAAAGAGCCCAAGTGCTTGGCCACATCAATTAGAGCATCAGGTACATTTTGGGGTTCAAGGGGAGATCGCCAGGTTCTGCAAAGATACTTCAGCAGTTAGTTGTTGAGAATTGTGTCTGTAGGGCTATATTATCATAAATATATTAGCTTAGCAGGATCCTTGTGGCATTAAAACTTACCTCCTTATTGTTTCCTTGTAATTCTGAAAAGAAAAAATAGAAGAAAACTGCTTAGGACCAATTTAGTTTAAGTTTGTCATTCAAATTGTCTGAAGAAACAGTCTCATCTACCTTAAGAAATGGAACATCTTTAGAGTTCATCTCCTTTTCCACTAATCTGATGGTGTTTGAGAGAGATGCAATTTCATGATTCATATCCTCAAACCTCTGGTTAACCTCCAGCTTCTTCAGTTCCTTCTCAGCTTTTAACGCAGAAAGTCTGGCAGCCTCCTGTTCCTTCAGGAAAATGTGCAGGGCTTCAAATTCATCCTTGATCTGTGTTTCGGTATGTTCAGCCTGGCTCTGGAAAGATACATGATTAATGGAGGATCATTGCCTCCTCACCTTGGCTCTCACAAAAAGTAGCATTTTGTACTTTTACCTTGATATGTTCTGCCATATCCTCACAAGCCGTTTTTGCTTTCTTATACACCTGCAACTTCTCTTTCAAAGGCAGCAGTGCACTCTTCAGTTCCTCCTACAAAGACAGTGACATGTCATGTACACATACAAATAAGGTCAGTGTGGCAAGTACCCCAGCTGTCAGCACAATGTCAGGCTTTCAGCTGCCACATACTCTTCCATTGCTAGATTCCCTGTTCACAAAAAGGCGCACAATACAGGTGCATAGATGAAAGGGGAAGAATGATCTTATGCCCTGTTGATATGTCACAATTGAGCTCATGCACCTCAGAGTTAAGGCAAGGACACAAAACGCCAAGAAGTTTATTTAATATTTTGTACCCATGGTTTCCCTTTCTCGAGAGAAGGCAGAGGAGGGTGGGAGTAGAACAGTGTCACAGAAACCTGGTGGGATCAAGTTTCAATCCTCTCGGGACCCCAATGGCAATGGCAAACCAAAAATATAATCTATTATTAGAATGTGAATGAACTCTGCCAAACACCTACACATATCAGCTTATCAGGCTTAGAGAGGCACAAACACACTTTTTTAGAAATTGTGAAAAATCAATGTTGACAAGCTATAAATTAAAACAATGTCCAGGTACAAAGAACCACTTGTATTTGTTTGAACTATTGATCTGAGATTTTAATTAGTACATTAGCAAATAACCAGTCAATCTGAAATGGTGTTACCCCTGTGAAATACTGGGGTGACCAACCCTGTAACTAACTTACCTTACAGTCATGAGCACCTTCACCAATGGGATAGAGTCTGTGCCCGGTGTGTGCGGCTCCTTTCCCACATAAACCACAGATTGGCTCCAAGTCCTCCAAACAGAACAATGTGAGCTTTTCTCCATGCTCCTCACAAGCCTCTGGGTCATTATTGCTCCTGTCCACCTTGAAGGATTCACAGGTCTTCTCCAGCACAGAGCTAACCACAATTTGATCCATGGAGGAACGGAGCCAGCAAAGAGGACAGTAATGTGAATCCCCGCTGCCCTGAGTCTCCCAGCTGTCTTTCAAACAGGCTTTGCAGAATCTGTACCTGCAAGTGAGCACCACTGAATATGACCACAAACTGGACAGGAAAGGTCATCCTCAAGATGAGCACGTCTGGCAGCCATTTTTCTAAACAGGGCTTTGATGAGAAGGCAGGATTAGAGGCCCCTCCCAGGTCTATGGAAGGCTGCCTCATCTTGACCTCAGAAATAAGTGTTGATACCTCAGCTCCCAAAGGCATATCCCGTGTTATCCTGTGCTTTGTGGAGCATGCACATTGCGCCTTCTCAAATAAACACCACACCCCAAAAAGATGAATTGGCTTAACATTTAAGAGGATATATCCATGTAGATCAGAGTGATGAGTACCCTGACTATAACACCACGATGACATAGGCCTATGGTATGCTATATTCACCACTAAGTTATGTGAGAGGTCTGTTGAAACATCCTGTCACTGTGTAATGAAAGAGTTTGAACAGACACAATGTCCAAAAAAAGACTCTGGGGGAGGGTATAAATAGAGAGAAGTAACTGATTTGGACTGACGCTATGTGGGTAAAGATATGTCCTCCGGCTGACCAGTAGAATATTTCCACTCTGAAGTTAGGCTTTGGCCTACACATTTTAAAAATTGACCCATGGTTATTTTTTTATAACACCCCATTTAAAACCTACTTGTGGTATAAAACACGAATGTGTTTTTGGGCAAATTGAGGGTATTTCAAAACAAGATGTGCACACAGTAGTGAAGGTTAATTTTAATAATTTTTAAATGTATGAAATACTGAATTACAGTTCAACCGAGGTCTTGCTAGACCTCGGTTGAACTGTAATTCAGTATTTTGTTGTGAGTATTAGTTAACATAAATGAGTGCTGTGCCAAAAATAGTACAAGAGTTTGTAGAGAGAGATGGAAAGGGAATACAGTCCTTCCATTAGGAAACACTGTGTTGCTTTAACTCTTGAGGTTTAACACACTGTATGGTAGACCATATACTTCCCACACAAGGCTTATTAACAGGCAGCTTTAAATCATAGTAAAGACTGTTATTAGAGTGCACATTGTATCTGTAGCAAGCCAACATTACAGGCTTTATCATATGTATTGACATTTTAGAATAATAAAGTCAGATATAATTACATTTTGATGTATAAAATCCCCTAAAGGCCTTCTAACATACAGGCAAAACTGTTCACATTTCAGGTTAGGAGTTTGATAAGAGTTATTTGGTTTGGATTGCGTTCTGTATAGTGTGAAGGTAAACTTCTGTTGTTGCAATGTTGAGGTAGAATGAAGGAGTCTGGAACCGTTGTTAGCCAAAAGCACCGAGAGTTTATTGATCACAGTACATTAATTACATACGGCCGGGGAGATCACTTAGTTGCACACCGTCCCGTGTTTCACCAGCGATCTCTGAACCAAAAGACACAAAACATCTAACCAACACGAGGAGAGGCGGGCTTCCAGAAAGCCCGCGTATAATCAATAGCCGATGCGAGACAATGGTCCGCTTGTCTCAAAGAGATGCTGCCAGGTCAACCCTCCCCCACGGACATAGGAGAAGCGTTTGACCTGTGACCTCAACCTACAGAGGAGTCTTTGAGTGACTACAAGCAGATGTTTGCAGTATCACAGACTCTAAGGAACCATAAAAGACTCTATAAACAGATCAGATGAAAATATTCTCTTACATATAGGACATTGACCCTGACCAATCCGACCAAATAAGTGAAATTTGAGATGCCAAATGGAAAATATTATTTGTTCAGCAGTTCAGTCACTGATAGTGTAACAGTGACCCGCCAAAAGAGTCAACAACAACCCCAACACGCTACAGCCTGCTAGATTACTGGGGGCTCTGCATGCGGTTACTGGACAGGTAACAGATGTTTATTTTATTTTGCATTTCTTTTTGTCAGTTGTAATGTTTTAAATATATAATAACTTTTATAAGATAGGCTTATCTAAAGTTGTGGCTAAGAAACAGTTATAGTGTTATTAGTTTGATTAATAGTATTAATTTAGCAAAAGTTTCTCTTTTAATCTTCAAATGAGTCAATTGAATGAACAAAATGTCTGATTAGTAAACATTAAAATAGGTGGGAAAAGCGCATTGGATAACCATGATGTGCACATGTTTACACACAGAAGTTTGTGGGTGTGTGTTTGGGTGTTAGTGTATTTGTGTGCAGACATATGAAGACATTACTACAGTGCACACTCTACTGAGCACATTGGGAGTAGCAGGAAGGCCATAGCTGTGAAACTTTGACAGTTTTCCACACACGTTTTCACACTACAAGACTGTTCAAGATGTACAGATGTCCAGCATTTAGTATCTTGATCATGGTTGTGAATATTCATATTCATTCTTTATGTTGAATTAACCCAGAATGTACACAGAAATCCACATACCACCTAGGAACAAGGACAACACAGCTGGACAGACATAAGGTATAGGCATGATTTGTGTACAGAAGCATTTTATAAAATAGATGTTTCTATTAATATAATCTAAATGCATATCTAAAAAGCACCAATAAACAATAAAATAAAAATGATGTTCTTACAATTGCAGTATTTCTGTAAGTTGTGTAACAACTAAATCAATAATGAATGGATGTATACCTGATCAGGATGGTTATGTTCAATATCATGTACATTTAAGGTTGACTATACAGTGTGCAGGGTTTGTATTTACTGAGACAGAGGTTTTGTTTGAAATCTCTTTCTATATATCTGTAAAGTTATAATCTATAATAGGAGAAGTGGACTTTATGGCGTTACAGGGTTCAGGGTATGGGTAGGAATGATTTAACTGACGGCCTGTAGAGACCTAGCTATAAAACATTATTCCCAAAACTATTAATTCATCTTACCTTATGATTAATGAAGGCTTCCTTTATGGAATACACTATATGATTCATGTGCCGGCCTGATCCGTGGCATGTTGAACAGACAGGTTCCAGATCAGCTACACAGATGCGAAAAAGTCGCCTTCCATGTACTTCACATGATCTAAATGGAAGTCCAGGGTTCGCTTTGAAGCAGAGAGGACACTCCTTAATACCATGTTGTATCCAGAATCGCTCCAAACAACAATTACAAAAACTATGATCGCATTCAATGCAGCAGAGGTCCATGGAAGACAGGAATATTTCCCCACACACGGTGCAGGAGGAATCGTCCAAAAACTCAACCTCCATCTGTGAATCTCAAGGCTACACTGGTGGGTCTCTACCAGGGCATAAAAACGATATTCCCTCTGAAAGTACAGTATGTACCATGAGTGTTCAAGTGTACATCAAGTCATGCAGCAGGAGAGAGAGGAGAGTCTAGACTAGAGAATCCGGCATCTCTAGTTTCACTAAGTTTAGTATCACCACATTCATAATCACTTTCAAACCATGCTACTAAAAAACTGAATCGATGCATGGGAGTTCAATTCAAATGTTCACAATGACAACAGAGTACTAGAACAAACAGAAAAACAACATAATAATTCACTCATAATGGGCTGGCTACCCCCAGGGGATCGAGGGAAAGCTTAATATAAGAAGTGATGACCTGCAGGGGGAAACTCCCTAAAGGTTAGGGGCCCCGGGAAATGGCAGCCACACGTAATATTAATACAAATAGACAAGAGGATAAGCATTTAGAAAAATAAAAGTCTCCTTTTTACTATACATACTCTAAAAAGGTAATTTATTGTTACTATTAATTTGCTTAACTGTCTGTATTACAAGCTCGTAATCACAATGGAAACCTAAAGGCAAAGTTAACACGATGCATTAACTCAATTATATTGATTTATTGGGGACATTTGGAGCTTGTTATATAATGAGACTTATTATAATAATAAATCCAGAGCAAAATATTGACATAGCCATTTTATAGCCATAGCCGGTTATGCAGGATTTAACACAGAAAGGAAAAATTTCATTAGTAGAAGCACTCATTTGTATGCTGCTTTCTTCTGCCCTTACTTCTTCTAGTATTTCTGATGCCTTTTTCTTTAATAAATAGAAAAATAAGTACATTTTTGAATCACATGGACCACTTTATTGATTTTCACACAGCAATGACAAAAGTGGGAACCTTTCGAGATTGCATGACAAAATTAAACTGTACAGAGAGAAAAACATATACAATTAATAATATATAAGACATAGAAAGTCACACTTCTTTAGCTTTTAGCTAAAGAAGTGTGACTTTTCTGGTCAGCTGCACCAACAAAAACAATGAGGTATCTCACCATGGGTCTACCCAGAATGTGTGTCAGAGTTCAGTCATCCATGGCTGCCTTGGTCTAAATCTGAGTTCAGCTGGGTCAATACTCTTCACGTGAGATTTATTTTCTGGCTGACAAGAGATTAAGGCAACTCTGAAGGCATGCTCTATATATATACTGCCCGGCAGGATACAAAGTGAAACACTGTGGTTCACTTGGACATTAAATGTGTTTATGTATTACTGTGTAATATGTGTAACATTGCTAATACTTAGTTTAATAAATCAATCTAGACTGCTGACAGGGCATAACAAAAGACAGGTTATGGCCAAATAATCACCACAAATGTTTGCGACATATGGGATTGTATATGTTCATTCACCAAATCTTCACAGAAAGTAATACAATGTAATTTACATGTGTATAGTCTGAAGTGTATTAAATGTGATTTCTATTTTAAAAAATTGTTATGTTACATTACATTCTTAATTTACAAACAAATCATTGTTTCCTGAAAATGTATATTCAGTGCTCTGAGACGTTTTTAATCATACTTAATACTTTTTGGCTTAAACATTAAAAACCTTTTCCAGAATTATTATATGTATATATTTTGCTGGTCCCTAGCATTTTTCTTAAACCCTCCTCTTGGTCACTATGGTACAATAACTTCACATGAGTTTCCTGTCTGGGTGATCAGAGGCACGTCCGGAGCGTTGGTGCCGGACCTCCAGGTGTTTGCTCTGAACGCGGTCAAAGTGCTGGAGCAGCTCATTGTAATCCACCTGAGTGTGAGAAGCACGTTTGGAGGCCACCTGCTGTTTCGAGTCCATATACTTTGACTCATCCACAGTCCTCATGAGCTCCGGGTTAGGGACACACCTTAAGCGGTGGGAGAGCAGCTGGAAGGCCTGGCTCTGCGGCAGCAGCATCAGCAGGCCGTACAGAGCCTTTATCAGGTAGGGGTTGTTCTCCACATCTAGCAGCTGCAGGCGCAGGTAGGTGAAAATCGGGCTTTCGATGAGCTGTACAAGCTTGTCGACCTCCATCAGGAAATCTACTGTGACCTCCAGGTCTCCAAACTTCTGGATGAGGTCATAAGCATGTTTGTAGTTCTGCGTAAGGAAACAGAGCGACACAGTGGCTACAGGGTTGTGGCACCAGGAGCGATACAGGCAGCAGAACAAAGCACAGCTCTCCTGAGTGTGCAGGTCTTTCAGCTGGTTGCGTAACTGGAAGAGCTCAGCCGAGGTGAGCAGGATGGTGTTGAGCGTCTGGACCATGGTGGAGGCGAATTTGAGGTCCTCTTCCTTCAGCAAGATGTCAGCCATAGAGTGGAAGATGTTTTCTGCGTGAAGCAACAGACAGAGCTGTCTGATAATAAAAGCTCCTCTGTTCTCCAGAAGCTTCCTCTCCAAACTGAAGCGTTTCAGCAGGTTGATCATGAACTTGTAAAAATAGGAGTTCATGCTGGGGGTGGACGGGGACGAGTCTGCTGCTTTGGAGCCTGTGATAGGCTGCTGACCTGGCTTGGCGCCCTCTGGGACCTTGAGCACCAGTTTGTTGTCAGCGCTGTCACGGGAGCCGCCTTGGTCTGATTGGCCAGCAGGAGATGATGCGATCTCAGCTAACACCTCCAGATCTTTCAGTATAACCTCGTCGGATTCATCAGACAGGGTTTTCAGCAGCATTGGAAACAGACTGTCTGTGTGGCGGAACATTTTGCGTGGCGTCTTAATGTAGAGGTGGTAGAGCCATTTGAGAACAGCGATGCGGGTCATCATGCCAGTGGAGGAGTCGTGGAGGTGCCGGCCCAACACCTGAACAATACCGTCCAGATCCAGAGTGACCTGAGGCCTGTCTGCACTGGCCGGAGTGAAGAAGCTGATGTTACTGAACCCAACAGATTCTTGTGATGCATTCAGCATATCATTGCTGTCTACCTCCGTCTTAGGCTGGCCATCCTTCTTTGTTGGCGACTCTGTACTTTCACTTTTCTCCTCCTCCTTGTCATCCTCAGGAGTCACCAGCTTCATCAGACTGTGATTACAGGCACTGGCTGCTTCTTTGGTATTCTTCTTTCTGTCGTCATAGGAAAGGCAAGGCAGCACTGCAGTCAGGATGCCAGAGGAGTAGGGGAGAACCGCTCTGCCTGCCAGCTGGATAAACTCTCTCATCCAGGTCATGGCGGTCAGCTGGATCAGGTCGTTAGTGAGTTTTGTTTCATCTGCAACCTGACAATGGATGACCAGGATGTTGGCCATCTCTGCAAATTTCACGTCTGAGGGTGTTTTCTTAATCTCCTTCAGAAACTCTCCAAGCACCACCTCACACGTCCTACGGATCTCCTTGCTGTTGTCTCCCAGGATCTGGAAGAGCCCATCCAGGATCTCAGGGAGGTAGTCCAACAGGTTGATGTTTGGCACAGACTCCAGAACATGGATCCAGGAAATAATAAACTGCCGAGCATATTGATTATTTGAATAGATTCTCTCTCTGAGCAAAGGGACAAACGCCACTAAGTCAAACTTGTTACTCTCTGTCACAATGTCTTTCAGCAGTCTGTCAAGAAGTTCAGACCCGCTTTTCACATTTGGGTCTGGGTCTGCTGCGAGCTTGCTAAGACCATCAAAGAGCAGGTTGAAGTGGGGAAGCACTGCTCCCCTGGCGACCTTCACTATATTATAGAGGGCCTCACAGGCATAGTAGCGCAGACGGCTGTCTGAGTCATTAAAGCACGTGAGCACAGGCTCTATAAGCTCCTTCAGATACAGACCTGAGTCTTTGCCGAGGGCGATGGAGCAGGCTGCCAGTCCAATGAGACCCCCCTTTCGGCTGTGGGGGTGCTGGGAAAGCGCAAATTCCGAGGCCAGGATCTGGATAACATGTCTGATTTGAGTGGAGTTGTTCTGAGCCACAAACTCCCGCACCAGTTTCTCAATCTCGAGAGCTGCGACTTTCCTCTTCTCGTACAGTTTATCATTCAGAGCCCTGACAATGTTGGGCGTCAGAGGCGAAAAGTCCTTCTCCGTGTTCATGTTTGCAGCTGTAGTTGTAGCGGATCCCGTCTACTCAAAATGTAAGTTATTATGTGCAAAAGCGGTCTGCATTTATGACAGTTTATAACAGAAATACAGCGGTTTCACTCGCAAACCAGGAAGCCCTGTGATACAACACAGCTGACTGGATGCAGCTGACCGGTTACATCCGCCGGACACACGTCATGTGTGTTACATTTATTTAGGTCCCACGTTGCGAGTACCGTTAGCTCAAATTAGCTTCGGACACAGTTCATTATTGTTATACCGTTTGGCGTTTGAATCGTATTCATACTTTTTATTGTGAATAGTTGTTACAGCCAGGAGCTACCATGGCGAGCCGCGTCTCTTTACACTCGCAGCTCACCTCCATCATGGAAACATTGGCCATGTCCGCCCTGAAGCAGGTCTGTAAGGTGGTGGATGAAGACTCTGCGGAGCTCCATGTGGGGTTCTCTCTGCTCATGGCGGCGAATTCAGCCCTGAAAGAGAAAGTCAACAGTCTGGAGTGCGAGCTGGCCACTATGAGAAGTGTGTTGTGTAAAAGTAAGCGCAGCGTCGGCGTGCAAACTGTCTGCCATAAGGACGGGGACGCTCATGGTAGGCCTACTTATGTTTCACACTTAAAATAGCTCAGATAAGAACATACATCTTCTGCATTGTTTCTGTGTTTACTAATGTGTCTTCCATGTCCTACTTTTATGGCTTGACTTTCCAGTGTCTGGGTCGCCCATCATAGAGGGGATCTTTGGAAAAGATTGGTGTATGAATCTGTGGAAAGACACAGACCCATGCAGTCTGGGGGGAGACTCACCAAAGTGCTCTGACGTAAGTGGGTGATTCAATAGCTATTAAATGTGTGAAACCTGTAGAGTCTTGAAAAATAAACAACTGTGGATAGTGCAGCTGTAATTGTGAATCATACAAACTTCATAATATGTAGGTTATAAATGTGTATAGCCATGGTTGTGTAATAAATTATTAAATGTAAACAGTACCTTCGAATAATGAAGAACAAATACCATGAATGTGAACACAACAACCTTCACAACCATCATTATTATTCATATTATCTTAAAGTTAGGAAAAATGTCCATCGGAATTTCCCAAATCCCAACATTCGAAATGTGTTGGTTTTTCGTCACCAGTCCAAAACTGAAACTTTAAAAACAAATATATTTTGATTATGAGAGAAACAGCAAATCACAACATTTAAAGAAGCTACATTTTCCATTATTATTAACGTAAATACTTTTTCAAATATCAACAACTCAACTGATAATGTGAACTTTAGTCTGGCAAAGCATTGCTGTCATTAAAATAGTTTAACATTTAGACTTTTTTTTTATTTGCAGTCTGTGGATACACAATCCAACCAGATTACTGTAACTGAAATCAAAGAGGAGGATTGTGTGGAGGAAGCTGCCAGCAGCTGCCAGCAGGAAACACTTTGTAAAGAAGGTAAGAGAGTGTAGGAGCATTGACATAAAGAATACAAAACCGATTCAGCAGCTTTTGAAGCATTTTGAGTGCTTCACTTTGTATTTTTTCATGCAACAGATCATGAAGAAAGCTCAGCAGAGGAACCAGAGTCAGTCGGTAAATCGGCCCATGGCAGCACTTGCAGCCTGTCCTTAGATCAGGATGGAGAACAGGTTGTGTGTGCAGGGGGTATGGAAGAACCAATCATGAAGCTGACATCCATCAATGACACAGAGGAGGCCTTCAGCACTCTTAATATTCCAATTGAAGAGGAGGACGATATACCTCTCCCTGAAGAGAGTCAGCAAGAGCTTATGAAAAACACTAAAGGTGGTCGCAGAAACTCTGAAAACATCCCTGCTGTGGCTGATGAGTTACTTAATGACTTCAATATGTTTAGTGTACAAACTGCCGGAGTTCAAGACAAGGACATATTTACGTGCCAAATATGTAACAGGACTTTCTTCCACAAGCGCACTCTAACAATACACATGAAGTCCCACAAGTCAAACTTTTGCAATATTTGTAAGCAGAATATAACTCGCAAATACAAATGCAAGTCGCACATCTGCATACCTCCGGTTCAACCTAACGGAGACGGTAGATCATGTGAGTTCTGTGGGAAGACCTTTGCAACCCCATCAGCTGTGAGGATTCACAATCGAGTCCACACTGGAGAGAAACCACACAGGTGTAGTTTTTGTGGAAAAGGGTTCGCCCAGAAAAACAATCTGACAACTCACCTACGTGTCCATACTGGATATTAACCGGACTGTATTATAATGTAATAGTTGGCCAACGAACGAATATTCGAATAGTCGAATATTCGGGTACAGCCCTAGTATGTAGACTTGTAGTATCTATAGGAGTCTTTAAAAACAAACAAGTATTAAGCAAGTCACTGTTTAGTGACAAGTGAAGGAGTTCACTTGAAGATGGATGGATGGACTGTTTAGTTATTTCTGTTTTTACAATGAATGTTCATTTTATTAAACTTTTATTTGACAGAACTTTCCTTTTTAAAATATGAATTATGTTATGTCTAATCTAAACTTCACTTCAACTTGAATATTCGGTTTTATCAGTGGTGTCTTGCCATTTTTTATTTCGTACTTTTATAACCTGAAAAGTACACATCTGATGCAGCTCTGAGGCATGCAGTTAGTGAAAAGGGGGGGTAACCGCAGCATCCGGACTAATACCGCTGATGCACTGGTAGAAAGAACATAATTGCGAGGCCTGGTCTCCTGAAAAGCAGGTGCAGCCTACAAACAAGAGCAGGGAGGAGGAGACACATGTTGGCACAGTCATGCATTACAATCATAAAGCAGAACAACAAAAACAGTTAGCCAAAAGCAAAGCAGCATGAGCAGAACACTGAGAACACGCTGTGGTGTCTCATAGCAACGCGGTGCAAATCATTTATGACTGGATCATTTATTAATCGCTGTTAAAGCATAAACAGTTAGAATGCTTTAGTAAGTTTTGCTTTAACTTTAATAAAATGATCCTGTGAGGATAATAAGTTAATTTGAAGCAGACTCAGTGTCAGGGTTAGGGAAAAATAGGACCCAAATGCAGTAAAAGGACTAAAAGGTCAGGTAACAAAAAGCGAGCTTTATTTTCCTGAATGACAAAAGAAAACAAGAAACAACTTAACCAAAACCGGGGGAGTACGAGGAAGGATCAGGACAAAAGACCTCAGGAACAAACATGGAGCATGGACAAGAGCAAAGAGACTAACAGGTATCATAGACGAGAAACGACGACGAACAGACATGGAGCACAGGGGAAAACACGACTAAATACACAGAAGGGTAATCACGGGACAAGACACATATGGGCAGGGGAGGCAGAAACCCAAGGGCAGCAGGTGAACACAATCAGACACTCCAGGGAAACTAAAGACAGGAAGTAGGACCAGACAAGACACAAGGAGGAAAACATTTCAAAATTAAAGGTGGAAAATGAAAACAACAATCCAAAACCATGACACTCAGTCCAGTATGCAGCTGTGAAAGGGTCTCCATCCTTTAATATCTGAGCAGAGGCCTTTTTCACAGACACATGTAGTTCAGCTGTCGCTGGACTCCACTCAGGTTTTCACAGAGCTGAAACTCAATCCCATCTACAATCAGAGAGCAGACTACGTTTAGTTTATTTAAATCCCAACTCAAAACATGGTTAGTGAGGAATCAGCTCTGAAACACTGACACAATCTTCTGCTCCTTACAACCCAATGTCTGTGTTTTAACATGTTCTTTTGTTTTGTTTATTTGTTTTGTTTTATTGTTCTGTCTTTTTATTTAAGTATTCCAGTAATGTATGTTGCATGTTTTAATTTGATTGTATTTACTTGTTTAAAGTAAATGTGTTTTAGGTTGACTTATAATATCTGTCCAGGGACAACAGATGAAAAATAGCCTCTTGGCTAACCTCTGGCACATTTACAGGAATGTTAATTAATGTGCACTGTCCTGTCCCTGTTAAACAAATGAATAAATAAATAAAAATAAGTGTATGCTCCTCATTTAGGTGATAATTATTTAGCTAAAAAGTTTTCGGATCTTAAATACTGTTTCATAGCAAACAAAAAAATGAATAGAATAGAAATAGAATAAAGGTTTCACAAATCTCAAACTGTGTTATAAAGAATCTTTAGCCTCTCTGGGATAATCCAGTCCAAATAAATCGGCTATGCAGCGATTTAAGAGGTACAAAAAAATAAATGTATACAGATAATTGCTTTGTTAGGTATGATGATAGTTCAGTATAGAATATAATAGCATTTCTTGAAAATAGTTCACATTTAAAACCAAAACAACACAATTTGACTCGACTGACACCATTTGTCTTTCTGCAAACATACTGCAGCCCAACAAATACATTTATTTCAAACAGTAACACCATTTGAGCCAGAACTCAAGGTTGTAGTTAAGTACTTGAAGAATCGCATGCACAAAACAATCTAGATAGATAAAGAAATCACTACAAGTAATACGAAAAATATTATTTCTGATTTTAGGGTGTACTTTAAAAACCTTGTTAAGGGAATAACATATTTAACAATGAAAACCCTAAGCCATCAAATAAACAACAACAAAAAAACATTTAAAACTGCAAACTAACGACAGTCTTCTGTTATTTGGATTCTGCAATATTTCTCTTAGCAATAAATCTTAAAATACATCGAACAAACTACTATTTTCTCAGCAGCATCATTTCCCATACAGGCTATTAAATTGGCCTTATAGATAGGAGTTTTTTTATATTAATCTTACATCTAAATTGTAGTTTAATTTCAAATTGGCACGTTAAGCCACTGAGCGTGACAGAGAGCACTTTAGCAGAAGTGATTTGATCGGTTAATTGAAACACTGGTGTTGATTTAAACCATACTTGTATGCATAACATTTCCGACAGTCCACACAGCTGTAAGGTTTTTTGCCGGTGTGTGTTCGAATCTATGGTTCGAATATGTATGTTCAGAGAGCTTTTCTGGGAGAAACTTTTGCCACATTCTGGACAGTTTATAAGGAATACAGCGGTTTCACTCGCAATTTCAAGGTGAAATCCGAAAACACTCGCCCCGCCCCCTTACTGTGTATCGCTCACTGATTGGACGATGCAGCGCATGCACTGGCGCTGGCACTGATCTGATGCTTCTTGACATGAGAGCAGTTTTATGGAAGCAAACAAGAGACAGAAGTATTTGAATTTGATCAGACACCGAATTTATAGCATTGAAAATAAATACTTTGAAAATCAAGTATCTGAATTTTTTTTGCTCCGAATTTACCTATGTGAAATAAAAATGTAAAAATTCAAGTTAAAAAAATTAGAATGTTCAAATTCAGATCCCAAAAATTCAAGTGAAAAAAATTCGACGTCAAATATTTCGGTGTTTAAAATTCGATGTCCAAAATTGCGATGCAGCATCATCCGGGCTACTCAGACAGGATAAGAAATCGAGCCCTAATGCAATCAAACCGACTTCTGGCCTATCAGAGTACGGCTTTGTCAGTCATGTGATCACAACAACCCGGGAGAAAAATGACGGAGAACAGCGGGGCTCGCCGCTCGGGTAAGTAGTCAGTTTGTGCTCTTTATTTTACTTGCTCGACAGTATTTGTATCTTACATTAGCTAGCTAAATGAGTGAAGTAGCCTTGTGCCTTGCTGTTAGCAAGCTCCGTTACCATTAATTGAAGTGAATCACGTTACCGTGTGTGTGTGTGTGTGTGTGTGGGGGGGGGGGGGGGGGGTGACGGTTTGCAAAGTAACGTAACGATCACTTCGGTTAGATAAGTCAAGTAGACCATGCTACACTATACGAAATACACTCTTACAAAAGCCCTGCATTTAAACATGTTAATGTTACTTTAGTAAAAGTATGCTAGTATAAGTAGGAAAGTGTTGTTAAAGTATTTAAAGTAGACACAAGTTATACTATTATATTATTTGATTTATTGTTATTACCGATGCACGAGTTGACTTAACTGTTGTAGTTGGAGCTCATTTTGAACAATGAGCTAACTAATTATTAATTTCATAATGGTTTAATGTGCTGACTATTTTCTACATTAATAGATTAAGGTCTGGTTTGTTCAAAGTCTCAAAATAGTAGGACATGCTGTCATAATTACCCAGAGTCCGAAGTGACACCTTTACAATGTTAAAGCTGTTAGATAAATGTAGTGATGTAAAAACTAAAGTATTCAAGATAGTGTAGTGGAAAAGAGATGTTTTTTTTGTTTTTTTAACGTTACCAAAACAAAATCTCTTGTTTTGGACTGACAGTAATAATTCAAGAAATAGTAGATAAATAAATACACATCAATTTGTTGTGGATGGAACACAACAAATGGTGCTCTTACCTGTGATGCCTCCTCCAAACATTATAACCAGAAAGTATCATTAAAACTATAAGTAACAGTTCTAGCTACTTGACTTCAGACAAACAATTCAAAAGACAAAATCAACACAATTTATTGAAAGACCAATCTTTATTTCTCTCCTTTTGTTTGTGTTATTAAACCCTGTCAATCTAAAAAACTGAGCAACTCAACAGTTAACTTTATATTTCTTATCGTCCAAAGCATCTATTACACTATTTGTTCCCCTCTCATATTCACAGGATGGATGATTAGAGACTTTGGGGTAAACCTCAGCTTCATGAACGTCCTGTCTGTTGGTTTGGCCAGAGAGGGCTGAGGGTCTTTCCCTCCTCGCAGGGAAAGACCCTGCAGGCCTGAGGGAGGAGGACCAGACCTGATGGAGGAGGACCTGCACCAGCTGCACCTACAGAACTTAGCCCATGCTGGGCATAGCTGTTACCACCTGCACAGGCCTAGCCTGTCAATGAACAGATTAACATTGGGTGTAACTTATATATATTATTTCGTTTTTATTTATTTTTTAAATGGTGATGGTTCATGCTCGATAACTTTTAGTTCACATTTCAATAAATTGTATTTGCACTCCTTTTGTCAGTTATTCTTACTGAAAATGTTAGATTTCACATCTGAATGAAGATTGGCCCCATTTATTTATGACGTTGCAAACTCGGCGGCACAAGTATTGTGAAACTCATAAAGTGAGGCGAATGCATTTGATCAGCTGACTTTTATCACATCAGCTTCTCCTTTCCCTCTTGGATGTTCTTCTGGACCCTCAGAGAAAGAGAACATGGTGAAGCAGTCCTGTCTCTCAGGCATGTCCTTTCCTAACAGAAATATCAAAAAACATATTATTGCAGAGCAAGTGTGTTATTTAAGAAAGAGGTGTGTTTGTTTGTTCATAAATATAATGATTTTCTTATTTGAATGTGTTTTTTAAATCCAACAGTGTACTACAAAGATAATCAGATTATGAATAAACCGTTCTAAATGCATCAACATTTAAATAAATGTATTATTAAAATAATATTTAACTGTTATCAAAACTTAGTGCAACTGTAGAAGCTTGCTCCGTCCGGTTGTCTCACTGAAAGACAAAGGGTCGCAGCTCTCACTATGTTCAATAATATTTGCCTTAAATACATTGAAATGTGAAAGTTGAACAAAAAAGTGATGTTGCTTGGTAAAATGTAAATGTAACCTTTTTCTAAGAAAGTACACTCAACATCACTGATGTGTGGGTGATCTAGTATTCAGTCATGTTTAATGGCATTTATATCAGTGTATTAAGAGTCATTACTTTATGCATTCTTTGTAAAGCATGAAAAAGGTGTACCTTGGAATCCGTGCTGAAGTTCTCTGCTGCTAGGAGTCCAGATCTGTCTCTCCTCCTCTGGTCCAGCCTGTCTGGATCACCTTGAGGACACTGAACAAACAGATGTAAAGTTACATGCGTGGGTTACAGACTTCTTTACATGCAAACTACTTTTTATCTTCTTTTAAAAACAGGTCATAATCTTATTGTTATACTTCAGAAATTGCTGGATATCACAGTCCTTATACTGTATCAGTTTGATTGAGTATTATTGTGTAGGTCCTTTTTATTTTACTGTTACTTTGGATGAGGTTTTCATGAGTCAGTCAAATTAATTTGTTTTCATATGCCATATTCATATGTATCACACACGTAAGGGTAAGACACAAACCTATTGAACAAATGCAATGCAATGGATAAGCTTAATTTCCACTGAAGTCACAGATAACGTCATATATCATATTTAAACAAATAATTTCCTTGTCACTAAAGCATTGACTACGCTATTCATCGTCCTTAAATGCAGGCATTAAGTTACATGTTTCGTTGTACAGCCACGATGAGGCTGTTTCTCAAGTGTGATGATAATACAATTAAAAGAGGCATTGGTAATAATATTAAAAACAACAATGTTTGGGTCGTTCGTCGGATAGGCGGTTAGCTGCAATAAATAACTCCAGTTCAACAAACCATATTACAATATCTAAGGGAGCGTTATTATCTTGAAATGTGACATTCATATTTTAAAGATACACACATTTCATTGTGAGGTTGATTTAATATACACTAAGCCTCTCTTCAACAATACGTTGACGTTAGCTAGTCTATGTTATGCTATAGTAGAGCATAGCGAATTTAAATGAACCTTAACAATGCATACAGTAACCTAACTAGCAAACTAACTATCTAACGTACAAGGATGACCTTATTTTAGCAACCTCGCACAGAAGCCTTTTGGTATACAGTAGCATCCCACTTAATGTTTTACACTCTTGGATGCTACGCATAGCATCGTTAGCACAGATGGAGCTACGATTGCTCAAATGCTAACCCAACTCTAAACATTCATTAACGTTAGCTTGATAAAAACACCAGTAACATAACATAAAGTACGCAGGGTTGACTTACCGAAGAAACTGCATTCATGGACGGTCTGTTTTAACCGCAGATAAATCTTATATTTGCAGGACGAATAGTCCACCAGGAACCAACACAACAAACATGGCCGAGTTCAAGTAGTGTTCTCCTCATGAGCTGAGCCCCTGTTGCATCACGGAGCTAAAGGAGCTAGCAGAGAGGAGCTA